AGCCGGCGCCCGACTTGGGCGTTTGGGTAAAATTTTCGAAAATTTTAAAAGCCCTACAAATTGATTTGTAGGGCTTTTAAACATGAAATTGGTTGCAAAATCGAGTTACCCATTGCATATAACACATGTAGGTGTTGAAATTACCTGAAAAAATCGAAGCCCAAGCCCTGAAATTGGTTGAATTCGATGTTTTTCGAAAAAAAAAAAAATCTGAAAATTTTGGAATGGGGTGGTTTTGGAGAGATTTTCGAAATTTAGGGGTTTTAGAGAGATAAACTGTTTTTTGCTTTGAACGGTAAATAGCAATAGTTAAACCGTAAAGAGCATTTTCTTCAATTAATCATAGCTTCGAGCATTGGACAATTGGAGACGACGGAGTCTAACCCAACCCGTTATTTAACCCATCAACTAACCCAAACGGTCCGAACTCCAAACCAACAAAAGGACTTGACCCGCCAAATAAACCCGGTTCGCAGTGATCTATCACACAAACTCTCTCTCTCTCTCTCTCTCCCACACACGCGCGCGCACACAAATAATCCAGACTCCCTCTCCACTGAACTGAACACAACTGCTGAGTTTCAAACATTCGGATCCAGAACAATCATCTTCAAATATGAGAAGGTGAATTTCTTCATATATATATATATATATATATATATATATATATATATATATATATATATATATAATTTTTATTTCAATGGAGTCGGGATCTGCTGAGTGCTGATAGCATTTTTCGTGCTTTTTTCAGCAGACTGGGGCATAGGCACCAATTGAAGCAATCAGTAGTTAAGGGCATGTTTGGCAGGCTATCAATTGCCGTAATTGTACTGGTGATCTGTACTGTTTCGCTATTGTCCACTATAAAGACCACCAAACAACCCTTCTCTCGATCTGAGGTACATATTATTATTGGATATTAATTTGATCATAGTTATTTGGTTATCAGCTGCGAATTTGGTCAATTTTAATTGTAAATGTAGTGACATTGTTGTAGAGGAACAAAATAATTTAGACGAAAACTCCATTTTCGTTAATAGTAATAGTAATCCAGCTGCATTTTATTCGTAGGAAGTAATAACTTATCAATGTTGATTGTAGATCTGGTGTAATCTTAAGTTCAAGTTCAATGATTGGGTTTTTCTTGAAGTTGTTACGAAGTTTGTTTATTTGTTATACGTTGTCGTGTGTGATCAGATCGATGTGGATACGCTTTGGGGTACAGCTGCTTCTGGTGGATGGAGACCATCATCTGCTCCAAGATCTGATTGGCCCCGTAAGGTTTTATTTTTAAAAAAAGTTTGTTTTGTATTTGTATGTAATAACGTCTCGATGACACGATTATGTATAAAATAATTTTGTTGGTCGTGATTGTCGTTTTCACCACGGGTTTCTGTTGGTTGATTTCTGGCTGTACTGGTTATGATTATTTTGTCTCTGTATGCACATGCAGCCCCTCCAACAGAAACCAATGGCTATTTACGAGTGCGATGTAATGGTGGCCTCAATCAGCAAAGAAGTGCGGTATGCTACAAAACCTAGCTATTACATTTTTAACAAAATGTTCTCGTTCTCCTTTAAAAGTTCCTTTTATGTGATTTTACATGACGATCTGGCCCTATCATTATGTTGAACTCTTATTATGCGATTTTAGAATTCCTCATGCTATAAACATTCTTTTGCTGGTATGTTTATCTGACACTAGACTTGTCTGGTTAGATAGTTAGTATAATTTGATGTTTTTTAATTTATGCATGCACCATATAATTGTTTATTCTCGATGTTACACAAACATTGTGCCATTATTTGATTTAGAATTCAAGGCAAAAGTTACACCTCAAGTTGGTCTTTCCTTTGGAAAGGAGAATTCATTCGAAAAATCTGTATTCTACTTCAAGTTGAAACTGAAACACCCATTTTTATTAATTAGCCGATTATATTTTACTAATGGGAATTTATTCAAGAATTCTGAGTACTATTTTGTATTAGGTACGGAATACCTATTCGGCTTTATTAGTGATTATCCTCTGATTAGTTCATATACCTCAATCATTTAGCATTTAATGGACCATTGGAAAACAGAAATTTCTGAGTTATTATTTGTCCAACATTATTTTGTTCAAGAATTTGATACTAGTTCAACTAAATCACGAAATCAAAGGTTATTTTCTTTAACTAATTCATGTACATGAAGTAAGAAGTAATTCTTTGAATTTATTTGATCACCGGGGAGTTTCTTGTTACTAATCCACATTTTAATTTCCTTATGATGTTTGGAGGTATGTGCTAAAGAAGTTTGGTAATGATTAGCTAGCATTTCTCCTTTCTATATTTTTTTCCCTCAGCAAATCTATAAGAAGTATTTGTTTCAAGGAATCTAACATTCCTTAAGTCTTATCATACTGCTTTTGGTGGGTTAATAAATTTTATGTGTCTGCCAAATTATGCAGCTGCTACAAGTAGGTATACGTAAATGTATGTTCGTCAATAACTTGTGACCAGATATAGTTAGATAACTTAATAATGAAAGCCTAGTAATGTTCAGTTTTACTTCTCTTTCACTTTCGACAGTGAGATAATTGGCATCATTGGTTCCATTATTACAAATAGAACTTTTTCCGTTGTCAACATCCTCATATCGGAATAAACCCTTGTGTTTTTTCTATATAAATACTTATCTCCTCCTCGTCGAAATAAAACTTCAGCCGCATCTGCTAGCAAATATGAATATATAGCATAGTAAAACCTTCTTGTACTAGTTACATCTGTTGGTTACCTTGTTATATAACCTTAAAAGAACCAGGAACGAGCTTATTTAAACTCAGGTATGATTGAACTCTCAAAGAATATACATTTTTTCGGCCTACTAATTGTTATCCTTATTTTGCGAGAATGCTACCCAGTGTGTGTATATTGCGAGAATGCTACCGTTGTGTGTATAATATATCTAGACACGAGGTTCCTTGGTCTTGCCACCACTTCCAATTATTCATTGGTCTTTACTTGATCCAGTGTCAAATATTTGGTTATGCATATCCATGAAAGTTGAAATAGTCTTTAATAATATATGAAAGAAAATAAAAATAAAATCTCATGCTCCTTGCTTCAATATTATAAAAAAGGTCACTTCTTGTCTCAATTTATGTCTGCCATCTGGTGGCGAGTTTTGGTGTAAACCATCTGACCACGTTTACTTCTGTGGTACTCCAGATCTGTAATGCTGTTCTTGCTGCACGGATCATGAATGCTACTCTTGTATTGCCTGAACTGGATGCGAATTCCTTCTGGCATGACGACAGGTGCCTATTTCCAGAAAAAAAACACAACTCTTTTACCTGTATAAATTTATAATATATGTTGTGTAGCTTCACATGAGAGTTTGGCCTTGGTTAATTTAGAAGAGATTTCTGCATCTTTAATGCCTGCTAAAATCGTTAGAGTAGAATATAGGGAATTATGGAAACAAATATATTTTAATATCTTAATTTGAATACTTGATTGTGAAAACTTATTACTGCACCCCTCCTAAATCCTAATGGTTGGTTTTACGAATACATCTTGTAAATGATGTTTGAAAGCTTGAGGTATGATGATAATTTCAGAGCTTTTAAATAACTTCCTTTTTGACTTAATGTGTATGCTTGAAGTTATTCTCAATATTTATGCTCCTGTGGTGGTGAACGAAAGGCATACTTTACTCAGTGTTAGTTAAATGCATACCTTACTCGTAGCATAAAGTAAAATTTTGCAAAAATGGCTGTCTGCTTAGGCTGGTAGTCTCGAAAGCGGGTGTCAAGTTTGTCAACTAATCCTAATAATATTTTCTGAAACCAGCATTTCCGGAATCTCAAATAAGAAAATTAATGTGATGCTTTTTCGGACTCAATTTCATTTCATGATAGTTTAATGTTAGTATCTATCTTATACTTGTACCTTTTTAGTGGTTTTCACGGCGTCTATGATGTCAACCATTTTATCAAATCACTGAAATACGATGTACGAATAGTGGAAAGCATCCCAGATATCCAGAAAAATGGCAAGACCAAAAAGATAAAACCTTTTCAGGTGAAGCTCGTGATTATTATAAAAAGGTTTTGCAATATATATATATA